TCTGGAAAATGTTCATAACCAAAAGACAAATCACATGCCTTCAAGTCGATTGTTCTCTCTAAACCATAATTTGATTTCAAGACCCATATAACAATTCTGAATGCAAGTTCTGGAAACTTGAGATTAGCAATATCTGACCAGCTGCTTCAAAGATTCTGCTGGAGGATCTTTACCTTTACTAAGAGAACACTAAGCACAAAGTCAGCTACATGGTTCATTTTTCACAAATTACAATTTATACGAGATTCTAGCACCACACTGTACCTCACTCCTCCTTTTTCTTCGGTAACACCCATTGGCCTGCATGGCTAACAACTGCTGAGCGCAAACATAATTTCTTCTACCAATGGGATCCATACCAACTTCTAGCAAAATGAAACATGCTAGTTTGGGGAAAACGTGCACTTCAACTAAAAGAATTATCTGGCTGAACAAAACATTTGCAAGGTAAAAAATTCCATTGCTGAGCTTTAAGTTTCAATTAATAGATTACCCTCCTGATGACATGCTTTTGAAAGCAGACGAAAGCATTCAGACAATTCATAAAAGGTGCCGATAATTTGTAGTCCAGCACCAACCACATTCAGATACCCTCAGTGCTTGAAATGACTTCAGTTCATTGGCCTAGTATCATACTGATAGTAATTTGAATAGCTTGCAAAAAAACCCATGGAGTTCTATTTTGATTGTTGTTGTATAAAAAGAAAATCATCCAATGCATTTGTATCCTGCTCTTCCTCCAAGGATATAAACATAGAATATATCATGCCTCCCACTCCCATGGGGTTACCGTCAGAAATAGTGATTTGTAGGGATCTACAAACTGTGGCTGGACTTACTAGCCAGACTTTATAGTCTACCTACCAGATGCGAAGTCCAACCCTATTACAATTTCATTAGGCCTTACTTCTTAGCATTACAGTGGTACCTCTGGTTACGTACTTAATTCATTCTGGAGGTCCGTTCTTAACCTGAAACTGTTCTTAACCTGAAGCAGCACTTTAGCTAATGGGGCCTCCTGCTGCTGCTGCTGCTGTGCTGCCGCCGCATGATTTCTGTTCTCATCCTGAAGCAAAGTTCTTAACCCGAGGTACTATTTCTGGGTTAGGGGCGTCTGTAAGATGAAGCGTATGTAACCCGAGGTACTACTGTACTAGGAATGGATATATGGATTTCTAACTGCATACAGGCATTTAATAAATAAGAATACTATAGATTTAAAAGACTGACACAGTGCAATTCTATATGCTTACTTTCAGTATGAATTTCTGCACCTCTTCCCACCTTTGCTGCTCTGAGTAGCTTTAAAAGAAAACATTTAAAAGCCCTGTATGTATGTGCATGCATGTGCGCGCACACACGTATGTGACACAGATGCTGTAAGGACTTCTGTAAAGGTTGCTTCTACCTTCTGTTTTAGTGCCAAATTGCAAGAAGGGGAAAAGAAACAAATTGGACTGGACACTTCCCTCCGCCTCCTGAGTTAATCCTCCACACAAACTATTACAGATAGCTAACAGTTAAACATGCCAGAAATGAATCCTCTTGTTGTGCTCCTTTTATCAGGCAAGCCTCAAAAGAGCCCTCAGGGGAGGACTGAATTGCTATGCAAATGTGCCTGCTCTCCACTCCTCTGCTTAGACCTTGCTGTTCCTGCTTATTCATCTACAATGCTGAGAGTGTGCTTCAGAGCAAGTGCACCTTGTGAATGGGGACAGATACTCCAGTCACAGAATTCTTTGGAATTCTTGAAGAAATTGGGTCAGGGAAGGATCTTGCCAGAGGTGAGAGAATCTCTTGCTCCTGGAGTGCAAGCAAGGGGACAGGAGGTTATTTGCTATCCTGAGCGCTTCATGAATGCAGGTAGAACAAATGTCTATTCACTATACCACTGGCTTCAAAGGTCCAAATATGTCTAATTTATCACCTTTCCCTTTCTCCAGAAAGTACATTTATGAACAAGGAATCGTGAGCCATATTAAAATGCACCGTGGGAAGCAAATGCCTTCCGATTCCAGGGCTTGTTTGTACACTAATCATTATTACTTGCACTAAAGCCCTATGAATTCTCTGAAACAGTCTCATACTGCATTTGCTATAAATTTTGTGGCAGCAGTTGCCCTGCACCAGTTGTTCCTGGTTTAAACCATATGGTAATAGAAAGCATTCACTTTCACAGCTTGATTTATCCTTAGCTAACTATTGGTAGCCACTTTCTTATAACCTCATTTTGGTACTGGATTTAGATAGCAAGAATGAGAAGACAAGTGTTCTTCATGGCTCCCTCCCAGTTAACTCACCAAAATCCAAACAGGAAGACCTCCAAAAGTGTTGCCTATGCTGGTTTTCAGGACTAATGAGTTTCTTACAGCAGCCCAAGTGGAGAAAATTTAATGCCACTTTAATGTGACAGACCACCAGGGATTTTCTGCTTTTGTTACATATCCCAAATTTTTGATATGTGGCAAGCTATGAAACTGAGACAAACAAAAGAAATACACAGAGGAACCAATCCACAACTGAAGTGTTAATTTTGTGGACATGTGTGTGTGTGCCTGCCATTTGCAACCTTTCTTAGAGAAGACAGCCTTGGCTTCATTTACCAGAAGACTGAATTATTGAAATAAACTCTGCATGGGGTTGTCTTTGAAGCCCCACTGGTACAAAATGCAGTGGCTACAACTTGTGGCTGTTGAGGAAAGAACTTAAGCACAAACCCAGGCTTGGACAGCACAGTAAGCCAAAACCTCTAGCAACCCACACATTGGTCTAGTTCCACTAAGCTAAAGTTTGGCTTAATGTGATGTGTGAACCATGTCTCTGTGTGTCTTGTGGCAGAATGTGGAGACCTTGTTTCAATAGGCTGGCATAGAATCACAGAACTGTAGAGTTGGAAGGGACGCCAAGGGACATTTAGTCCAATACCTTGTAATGCAGGAATCCCGACCACAGCCGTCCCTGGGCTCGAACTACCAACCTTCAGGTTAACAGCCGGACACACTGACCAGTTGCACCTAGTTTTATCGTTACCAGGTTTAATCATTTTTCATTGTCACTGTTGTTACTTTTGGTAAAGTACAGATTGCATTATATTCTTTTTGTTGTTTTTAGTTTAGTTTTTATTATATTGTATGGATTTATTGTTATGATGTACGTAACAACATATATTTAGTAGAAGACTGAAGCATAAACAATAAAATATTATCACCTATTATTCTGAGGCACAAATATTTTACATTGCATCTTTAAACAATTCTCACAACAGTCCCCAACAAACAACAGGTAAAAACCAATAAATCATATGTTGCAAGACACAAACATAGTCACTGGCCTTTGTTGTTGTTGTTGTTGTTGTTGTTGTTGTCATTGGCAATAGAGCAGCTTCTTACTGTAGTGGAAAGAAAAGCTACTGCGGTTGACAATGGTGAGCATTCACTGTTTTAAAAATTCTAATTGATAGCCACAAAGCTGTATGTGAGTTTCTGCAATGAAACAGAAAACAAACTGCTTCCTGACAAATGGCTGATGCCTAACAGTACTTCCACTGGGGGATTACCTTGGGAAACCGGGAAACAGATCCACAGGTATAATAAAACATGTATTGACAACTTAGGGTAGCGAAATTAGTGCTCATTATTGCCCTAGAGTTATAAAAAGAATGCCTTCATTGTATAATAATGGGCAACAAACACAGCTGTAGCTTTCAAGCATTACACCACAATTCTCAGTAATTTTATTAGCAAAAAGCCAATAAATAATATATCTATCCCTTCTAAGCATTCATTTGAAAAAAGGAAGAAAAGAAATTTATATGTATTGTATATGTGTGCTTACTATTTAGTACTGAATCTGAACATGTGCTTCCTTTACAGTTAGTACTAGAATAGATGTATTGGCAGCACCAGAACATTCCCAACTACCCCACATCACATATGTGACCCCAGATTATTTGTCCAGTCTTCTCCAGATCCATAAGGTTGCACTCTATACCACTGTGCTTTTAGCTCTGTTTTTTATACTTTTAGTGCATAATTTCTACTGTTTACATTGCTTAAATTTTTTTTAAATCTTAAGAGATTTAGAAATACTTTTAATTAATTAGTTCATTAATGCTTTGCTCTGCCAATAATGAAGTTCTATTTGAAAGCAAGCTACATTCAATTGGAATGCATAAACTCCCTGCCTAAATCAGGTATTTCAACCCTATTGCTTTTTGGTAGTAACATGTGCACCTCCTTCCCATTCCTATTATGCAGTGATGAGGAAGAAGAGTTGGGATAAATTGCTGCTCCCCATTCTTATTATAAAGAGTTCACTGCTGGAAATAAAATAAAGCTTTCCCAAGGCTTCTCACCCACAGAGTTGTGACTGCAAAATTCAAAGGTTGGAGAAAAGCCTTGTCATTGTTCTGGGATAGAAATGGATATGGAACTGCATCAAGTGGAATGCTTTCCTATCAGTCAGCTTAAAATTATTTGTAAGTAAATATTTCACCACAGATTCCAATGAACTTTCTACATGAACCCATAACGACCAGTCAAGAAAGCTTTTGTTCACTAGTCAGAAGAACCCTTCACATTCTGAATTTATGCTGCTATTGTTCCTATCACTATCCTCCCACAGATCAGTGATAGCATGACTTCCACTGGAACCTATCTTTCACTGCTTATCCAAACACTGAGTTTGGTGAGAATTTTTCCTGAATAAATCAGGTCTATAGTCACTAATGCATTTTGCAGAAAAGGACAGAGAATGATTAGATAAGAACTGAACAAAATAAATAAAGCAGATCTATGCCATTAGCGAACAGTATGTTCTGTTTTAGAATGCTTATAATTTTGTCAGATTATCCCCTAACATGTAGCTTTTCTCATTGCTTGTTTCTGGGGAAACTGTCCCACGTATTTACAACTACATATGCATGCAACATGTTTAATAACAATACATTTATAGGTACATACATATGCCGTATAATGAGAAGCAATGGCTTTCTTTTTCAGATCAGCACAGTAGAAGACCTAAGCCCGCACTCCTTTGGACATGAACAAATACTGAATGACAGTCTTCAACAATTTCAAGGCACTAGGACAATGGTCAACAACCCGGCACCCACTAGGGTTATGGCACCCATGAAGGTTGTTATTAGACACCAACAGTGTGTATGTGCTTGATCTCCATAAACAGGAGCAGCAGGACATAGTTGACTTCCCATGGCAAGTGCAAGGTTGCTGGGGGTGGTTGTCTCTCTAATTCTGTGTTATGCCATACTCCCTGTGGCAGCCAATTTATGTTACACCACACCTGCTTCATGGCAGTCATTTTGTGACTGGTGCCCCCAGCACCCTCTCAACATTCAAACTGTGCCCACTAGTCCAAAATGGTTGGTAACCTTTGTGCTAGGGAGCCAGTGTTCTAATATGGAGGTGTGCAGCAGAATGTATACTTACATATGGGTATACATGTATCTGCAACAGAGGATAAAATGTAATGCACCTAATGAAGTAAAATACAGTCCATGCAAGCTTGTTCCACAATAAATTTGTTAGTCTTTATGACTTTTTTTGTTGCATTTGCTCCAATATGTCTACTCCTCTGGAAATTAGCCCACCTTCCTTCCAGCATGGAAACCTGGACAGCATATATGAAATTCTAGCTAGCCAGCCAGCCACTGACCAAACCCAGACTTGCTTAGTATGAGCAACTTGGTGGCATCATGCCCTTATTCTGGTATGACCATAACCAAGCTAGGATCTAGAACGCTACCTTTGGTGTGCCCAAGGGCTTGTAACTAGCCAATGGCAGTTGTCACTACAGTGGTACCTCTGGATGCGAACGGGATCCGTTCCAGAGCCCCATTCGCATCCAGAGCAGAACGCAACCCACGTCTGCATGTGTGCGGGTCGTGATTCACCGCTTCTGCGCATGCACGTGATGTCATTTTGAGCATCTGTGCATGCGCAAGCGGTGAAACCTGAAAGTAACATGTTCCGTTACTTCCGGGTCGCAGCGGAGCGCAACCCAAAAACGCTCAACCTGAAGCAACTTCAACCCGAGGTATGACTGTACTTTTTTCTTTAACGGTAGACAGTCCATGCTATATATCACAATCTGTTTTTTAAAGTATCCTCCATTTTAAAAATTATTTGCTACATGGCATTAGGGCCTACATTTTGAGAAATAATTGATCAGAACCTTGGGTCCAGGGAACTGGTCATGCAGTTTTGGAATGCCAGCCACAGTACAATGTTCAGATATTATTATTATTATTTTGCAAAAGATCCTAATGACACATTTGGGACAAAATCCCTTAATCCAACGCTAATTTCTGGATTTGTTTTTTGTTTGTAAGAGTTTCATTTGTTGATAAAGTAGCTATTGCGTAGTATTACAGTTTGCTGTTAAACCATTAATGATGTTTTGTTCTGGAAAGTTTATCATCTATGGGTACAATGTTCAAATCAGCTGTTTTAAAAGTGAATCCTTACCAAAATAAGAGGCAGTGTAAAATGTATTAAGTGTTACAAAAAATAAATCCTCTGGCTTAGTTACAAAGTTAATTTAACTGAGTTTATAGGACAGACAAAGAGTTAAGCAAATCATATTGTTTTCAACAGCTGTAGCTGCTGGTAGCTCACCCTTACAAAATGACAACAATGAAGCTTCCTACTATCACAGTGATAGTTATTGTGTTGTTTCTTAACTTGGCAGGGTTACATTTGTGAAAATTTTAGAGACATCTGTGGGTGCTTTATAACATATTAACACATGCACCTCACTGTCGTCTTACTAAACAATGTGTTGTCACATTTGCTGTTTGGGCAGGACAGAATTGCTCATCTTCCCCTTACAGCCCATCTGGTTTCTCCCAAGCTGCTCAGGGAACAACAGAAAAAGAAAAATCCTAATGAATGTTATCAGGTGTGTGTGTGAGAAAGTGTATGAGAGAGAGAGAGAGAGAGAGAGAGAGAGAGAGAGAGAGAGATTCTCATTCAGTGCAATAGGGTGTGTGTGTTTTTAAACACCCCTCCAACCTACATTGCATATCACTTGCAACATGATGTAATATATACAAAATTGATTATACTAGCCCAGAACTAATGTGAAGAAAAATCCATGGGAAAAGTTGTCTTTTTACTAATCTGCACCTTTAAATTCAAGCAGAAACAGCACCAGCAAACACACACACACACACACACACACACACAGTCAAGTAGTTAATTTTTACAGCTCAGTCATTTTTAATGAGGCTGTTTATTAAGGAAATCATACAAGAAAAAAAAGGCTAATAATGCACAATGAAATTTGCAACGCATATTTTATGACTTTTAATAGTCAGTATAAAGAGTATGAACAAGCAATAAAAATAGTATGAAAACAATACTTGTGTCATTGGCAACCTGATGCCAGCTCTTTTTATGTTTTACACATAAAGAATTATGGGGCATCAATTTCATTTTGAAAGGGAGTCTAGGATCTCTGGTTGATTTTTCCCTCCTTAAAGAATAAGAGCAAAGCACATACACTATATATTCGACAGATCTGCTTCCTAAGAATCAACATGGTTCACACTATGTGAACTGTCACATTAATAACCCTATGCTGATATTCAAATTTTCTGTCTTAAGCTAAAGAAAGATTGAATACCCTGCTGTTGTGTGGCCAAGATTGAAGAGGTGTCTCACTGACATTGTTCAAAGTTTATGAAAATATATGAATGCTCAAATGTCATTGGTTTTGCGCCTCCAACAGACTGTGGTTTTATGAGAAATCAGTCTTTTAATCAAAATGATTGAATACCTTAAGGTCGAATCCAAAGATATCAGTTAATATCTAGAAACGTGCTATTTCTGCAGATTTTGCCAAGCTGTACATATTGTGGTACATTTTAAAGTGTTAATTTGTGCATTCCATATTGAAAATTGATCTTGAGTTTCAGCTTTTTGTCAAGCAAAAACATATGGTTACAAGCTCTATGCATTTTACATGACGGCTGTTGAAGCTGTCACATGTGCAAACTTGATAACCGATGTGACACATACGCAAATAATTTGCTTGTTTAGTAACAATTCAAAGATTCATTATTCATGCAAAAACACATTTTTAAATGATCAGATGGAATGAGTCTTCATTTTGCAAAATCTAGTCTAGTTGGTGTACAAACACAGATAAAATAAAGCTGGAAACTAAGTGGTATTAAAACAAATCCAAGAATATGAGTATTTCCAGATAATTATTGAAGCAGATGGTGTTTTTTTTGTTAATTCTGCCATCAGTCTGAGAACTTGATGTCTTACATCTGCACTTGGTAAAATAAATTTTGCCATTGACATTATCACAGTTTTCTCAAAATACTTCAGTCAGTTGTATCCCATGATTTCCTAACACCTGCTGCAGCGCATGTCTGTCAGACGCAACTGTTTGAAAGTGTGCCTTCAAAGCATGCTTCCTTATCCCAAACTTTTAATTTTGATTTATTTTATCTATGATAATAAAAATTCCAAATTTCCATAGCAACAGCTATTAAATGAAGCTAATGGCTGCAGAGTTGTCAGGGTCTTCGGTTTAACAGAGTCTCATCTCCCAGGGTCTTTCTGGGAGCTTTGCTCCGTAACTAACTCTATATCTTGTCCTGATCCCTGTGCCTCTTCAAGTCAAGGTGCCTCATTAGCCCTGGAATTACCCTTGTTTCCCTTATGTTTTGCTGAACAGTCACCATCTATCACTGCTCCTATGGCATAACTTTATATTCCTGTGACAAAAAACACCCCAATCTTTTATCCCAATCTTCACCCACTCTTGCCCTCTGGTTTTGCTTAATCTCACCCTTCTTTTCAGTCATGCCACCTTCAATACCAAACTTCACCCATTTTGCTTGGATTACTAGCATGGAACTAACTTCTATCTGTCTACTCAACCATAAACTTGTCTAGTGTCAACACTTTGACCTGGTAAAGCCTCTGCATATATTGCAGAGTTACCCATGCTCCAATGGGTTAAAGCCGCAACCCTAAAACCCACTTATCTGGAAGTAAGCATTGTTCCATTCAATAGGATTTCCTTCTGAGTAGGTGATTAGGTTTGCATTATAAGCCCCCAGTAGGCATGGGGAACCTTGGGTGAGCCAGATGTTGATGAACTACAACTCCTAAGGTGATTCTCAGGGTCCCGTCCAACTCTACAGTTCTATGATTCCCATCCTCCCTGGCCATTGACTATGCTTGCTGGGAATGATGTTTTCCATGCTTGCTGGAAAGTTGCAGTTCATCAACTTTTGGAGGGTCAAAGATTCCCAACACCTGGCCTACTAAGACTTAAGGTCATATTTTAGAGCCCTCATCCTGTACACAGGCTCCAGACCCACTCATGTGGTTATTATTATTATTCTTTTAAACCCTCTTACAATAAGGCCCACTACAGTCAATGTTTTGGAATGCTGTTCACAGAAAATTAAGCAAAATGTATTTTTAGTCTTAATAAATGTAAGTTATGGCTTGAAAAATACACTGCAGATATAGAATACCCAGTGAAATACTCCTGTCCAAGCTTCAAGTGATACCATCTTCCAAGATACTTTACTCCATTCCTCCTCTCTGCCCCAGTTTCTCACCCCTTCTCAACAAGCAGTCATCATTCCATGTGGACTTCCCCTGGTGCATAAGCTTCCCCTCTCTAAAGTTTTTTCACTATTGTTGGTTAACTAAAAAAAGAGGTTGGACTTGCCACTGGTGAGTACTAAGGAAATATGAAAGTTTCTAAGAATCTCAGAGTCATATTATGGTAGCCTGACAAAACTGCACCAAAAGAACTGACATGCAAAATGGTTTTAAAAACACCAACGTATAAAGCAAAAGGAAACATAGGTGCAGTTAATTTACCTATGTTGCCAATAGCCAGGCATAACATATTTTACAGTGTCTTAATGTAGCCTGTGGCCTGCCTACCCAAACAATGTTGTGATACTTCCAAGTTTGTTCCCAAGCTTCAGATTGTATGTCTCTCTGCCACCCGGGGGCAGGGAGAGGAAAGAGGTGCAAAACACAGTCACATGGATTTGTCTGCTTTTGGAAAATAACTATCAGAATTAGAAAATAATCTGAATGCTAAAAATAAAATACAGAAAAAGAGTAGTCATAACTGGGACATTCTGAGGATTAACGTCAATCTAGACTGGAGTAACAGGACACAAGCGATAAAGGTACATTGCAGGGAGTTGGACTAGACAATCCTCAGGGTCCCTTCCAGTTCTATGATTCTGTGATCTGAGACAGGGATCGTGCAACCCTACGTTAACTTACTTCAATAAGAAAACTGCTTATTTACCTCTGGCCAACCAGTTTGCCTAATTAAAATAGCAGATGCAATTGTTGAGATATTTACACCTGGGCTTCAATAAAAGCACAATCCTACACCTCACATACATTGGATGATGAACCAAGAAAAATCTTATTCAGTCTTGGCACTTGGATCTGAATCATAATACAGTGGTACCACAGGTTACATACGCTTCAGGTTACATACGCTTCAGGTTACAGATTCTGCTAACCCAGAAATAGTACCTCGGGTTAAGAACTTTGCTTCAGGATGAGAACAGAAATCGTGCTCCGGTGGTGAAGCAGCAGGAGGAGGCCCCATTAGCTAAAGTGGTGCTTCAGGTTAAGAACAGTTTCAGGTTAAGAACGGACAAAGGTTTAGGGCTAAAAGCTGGAGGAACCTAGATTTGTTGGCGCTATGCTAACATTGCCTTCAGATCAGATCACTTTCACTGAAGTGTAGCCTACCTCACAGTGGGGACTGTCTTGAGTACAGAAAGAGATAATTCGTTTTTGTTGCCCTTGAAGAGAGGGAAGGATGCAAAGGTGATGCACAAGCA